CAAATATTTTCATACATTTTCAGCGACTTATCAAAAGGAGAGAGAGAGATAGAGAGAGAGAGAGAGAGAGAGAGAGATGCAAACAAAATAAAACAAACTTTTAAACACAAAAATATCTGCAAATTTTCAACAGAACTAACAAAACAAAAAAGTTTAAAAGTTATTACAAGACAGCACTTCTCGTGAAAAAATTACACAAAAAACACATAAAATATTCAGTACTCCTCACTAACAATGTCTCCATTTATTATATAAAACACACAATAATTGATGTGAAAAAATATTGTCTCAATACTAATGCAATTATAAAAGCGAGTAAAATATAGGAACAAAATATGGTATTTCTCTCCTTTTTTAGACACAAAGTGTTTGCGAAAAAATATTTTATCGACTGACAGGTCGTTCAACAAAAAGCAACACAAAAATCATTGTTTTGTTACATTATTTTTCGGGCAAAATGTATATTAAATTAAAACTCCATTCCGAGTGAATGCCACACAAAAAGCTATATTCAAAATCACATTAATTTTGTGTCCGCACGCAATGAATATATTTTTAGTGACTTTTTTGTCGCACAAAAAACAATAATAGTTTTGTTGCAGACTTTTTTGCCACCGATTACTACAGTGTTATTATTTTTTCGCTATATTTCCTATTATTTTATGAAATTTTAATGCAAACCATTAGTCGAAAAAGCATGAGACAAAAGAATAGTTTAATATTTATATAATAATTTTTTTAGATAATAATTTACGTCATTATCTCAATTCCCATCTCAACCCTCATATCCATAATGAAAATAGTTTTGACACAAAACTAATAAACTTTTTGTTCATTTTGTTTGCTTGCAATCAATTTCAATCACATTATGTTTGTTATGTTAAACAATAGGTACGAACACCTATAGACTACTGTGAAAATAAAGTTATTTAATTAGCAAAAAATAAATAATTTTTTGTTAACAAATGACATTTCAAATCAAATCGTAAACAATCAAAACCATTGATACACACAAATCAAAACTCATGCCCTAAACCAATGCACCAAAATTTATCAAAACTTTTGTGTTTTAAATTAAACGATAAAACTTTTGTATTTCTAATTAAAAAACAAATAATTAATACAAAAAATACTTACAATTACTACTGACTGCCTGTGAATACGGCGGTAATATACTGGCGCTCGTCGTATTGGCTGTAGTCGTGTTGACACTGTTATTGATGAGTACGTGGGCACCACTGGTCATACTCCCGGTGCTCACCTGCACGTACTGTTGCTGCTGCTGTGGCTGTTGATGGGACTGTTGGTCGTGGGACGGCATGTGCGGTACGGCAAACTTGACACCACCTCCATTGGCACCCATACCACCATTCATTGTCTGATTATTATTGCTGTCGTAGCAACTCGTGACTACCGGTGCCGACGCCGTGGTCACCACTACTTGCTGTGGTGGCGGTGGCACTAGCATGTGGTAACTGTTACGCCGGGCGGCACCGGTATTATTGGCTGCTGTGGTGTCGGCTATTGTCAGATCCTGGGATGAGTCGCTTGAATGCGAGTTATTATTACTATTACTACTATTCATGAGGTTTTGATTGCTATTCAAATGACTTGTGTTTTGATTATTACTTAAATTATTATTATTTGAATGATTATTAATGGTATTGAGCTGTGAATTGTTCATGAGTTGGGGGTTCGGGTGCTGTTGCTGGGGGTGGTGTGGGTGCTGCTGCTGTTGCTGGTGATGGGGGTGTAGGTGCTGTTGGCCACCATTAGTGGTGGGTATGGTTTGGTTGTTGTTGTGGCCGTTGGTTCGGTGCAATTGGTTGAGCGCCTCGACGAACCCCCGGGCGTACTGTTCCTGCTCTTCGGTCACCTCCTGTTCCTGTTTCATGAGGTACGACAGCCCGGCCGATGGGGTGGGCGTTGTGGTCACCATACCGTTGTGCTGGATGATCATGCGCTCCAACTCTGGTGAACCCAGTTTACACATCTTGAGGTCTGGGATGGGAGACAACGTTGTGGTTAAAAATGAGTCAATTTATGCATACATTTATATACTGGGTGTTTGTGTTTATTATATGTGGGGTTAGTATCTGGCGGTATATGTGGGGTATATGTCACGTGTGAATATATTTTATTTATGTATATATTTTACATTTGATTTAAAAGGCCTAGCTACTATCCCAAATATTCACTGATCAGTATAAATTCCTAACCCCTTTCCCCTCCAGAATAAGTCTAGAAAATAAGGTTTCTCGACATATATTTCATTTGTATTTCCGATTAATACAGACGTCTATTAATAGATGCATTTCAGGCTAAATATGGTTCAATAATACTGAAGCGAAAACAGACATAAAATGCCACAAAAAAGTAAATAAAACTAATAAAAAGTATATAACTTTCATAATGTAATGATGTAATTGTCATAACTTGCGAGACAGACATATTGATCCGGGTGCTTATCACCACACACGCAATCATAGTGGCCTAACCTTTTTATTGCATACATAAAGTTATATAATAATAAAAAATATGTCATTATTTTTGAGCGCTTATACACACACTCTGGCTATACATGTATATACAGGTAATGGTAATCATAATATAGTTATGTATTATGAATGTAATGGAAGTCCTAATACCTGGCGACTCGAGTATACAGGTCTTCATGAGTTTGGACTTTTTGCTATGACTTGTGGGCGAATTGAAGTCCAGTGTCATCTTGTTCTTCAACATCTTGATGTTATTCTCCTGGTTCTCCTCGTAGAAAGTATCCATGGTCACTTGTATCTAGTATATTTTACAATTGTCAAAACGCGCTAGCTACTTATTTACGGGCGCATACACTAGCACTCTATGCGTGTATATTTGCATTCAAGTCAATGGCTTAATAGTTTGTCAATGAATTGTTCAATATATTCATTCACTCGTCTAAAATATGCTTGCTTATTATTGTATGGGTTCACTATAAACAAAAAATGTGTACACTATAAAAGTGGCGCACATATACACTCACTGGCACTGGTAGGTAGTCATAAATGGCAAACACTAAAAAACACTTTATGCACACAAACACAGTGTGTATGCAATGAATGGCTCGTTGTGTGTAACGCTTAGGGACTGAATGCCAGACCACTAGCACTCGTGTGTGTGTTATATAAACTGACGGCACGTATAGCGCAACACTCACTCATACACTCTCTCGATATACACTGTATTCTCGATATTTAGTATACAATACGTAACGCAAGTATACGGCGCGCGAGTAGTCGGAGGACCAGTGCTTTCGGATACACAACTGAGTGATGACTCATTTGTTTGTCACTATATATGCCATGTATGCGCACAATCTCCCAGTCCCTTATCTCTCCAGAATCTCCAGTTCCCCTCTCATCCATGTAGGCATAGCTCCCTTTCCCCTCTCTCTCTCACCATCCCATAGGCTCTGGCAATGCATTTGCGAATTACAATGACATCACTGATACGGACTCCCATTGGATACCAGTTTCCATTTGGTGTGCAATAAGTGTGCGCTCAATAGGAAATGCTGTTCCCAAACGAACAGCCCGTTCCCGCTATCTATGGTATTCTCGTAGAAATTAATGTTCCTGGTTGTTTTCGAGTAAAATATTTATTTTTATTTTGAAATATTAGTGATTACCTTGCTTGTTTTGTGTATCTAGCTATATATTTTTATAATTTTGAAGTTATACTATAGGTTTAGTTGTAAGTTACCTAGCTAATGCAATGACAACACATACTTAATCTAGGTAATAGAATAAAAAGCTTTAAACAACATTGAAGTAATTTTTTAATAAAGTAGTAATTTATAGTCTACATGGTAAGTTAATAAAATCTTTAAAATGTTTGATTATTTTGCATAATATATAAGTTTTGTTTTTAGTTTAGCGTTAAAAATTTTAATCATTGAATAATTATATATTATTATTCACATAAAATAAATTGTTTTATATACTTTAAAATTAATTGAAAAATATTTATGTTTTGGTGGCTACACTCAAAAAGTTTAAAACCTATTTACATGCATTTATAATTAATTGTTTAATGAATTATTATTTTAGCATAATATTATTTAATTTCTAGTATCGCACTCAACAAAAGTAATAGAAAAATAAATAAATTTTCTAAACATTTTACAATGGGTTTAAAAAACTAAAATATCATAAAATATACAAACAATTAATGGGTTGGATATGTATATAAAATAAAATGATGTGGAATATAAATCTAATGCTATATTGTCTTGTTGTATAAAAACACATACATTTCTAAAACTTTTTAACTCTCTCTCTCTCTCTCTCTCTCTCTCTCCATCTCTCTCTCATATTCTGGTCAGATATAAATTTGTATGATTCACACATATTGTAAATATAAGGTAGA